ATTGCCCATCCTACTGAGCCTCGCCTCCCCCGCAGTGGGCACCCAAGGGAAGAACTCCACCTTCTCTCTGAGTGGGCTGCCCACCCCACCCCACCCCCACAACTCTGGACTTGGATTTGGGGGAGGGACAGATCCATGAGGTTCTGGTCACCTTGGCCCTCAGTAAAAGAATTGGACCAGTGGTCAGAAGAATCTGGCTTCCATTTGGCAATATCAAACGCATTTTCTCACATCTGTGATATCCTCCAAAATCTAAGAAAGCAGATATCCAGATTTCATGTAAAACGTAAGCTCCACAAGAGCAGGGTCCCCGCCTATTGTCCTGCACTAAGCCCCCAGCCCCCATCCAGAGCCCCCATCTGGAGTGGGTGCACCATAAACGCTTGTTGAATGGAAGTCAATCTCAGGATCATCTGTAGGTTCTAAGAGGGCAATAAGCTCTGCTCAGCAACTGAGGAGTGCTTGAGTGTGTGCATGCTTTTATTTCTTTCCACGCAGCCTCATTACACAGGCAGACTCTGAGACACTCACTTAATGAAACATTATGCTGCCATTAAAAATATTGTTTACAAAGAGTTTATAACATGCAAAATGTCTTCTGTTACAAAGCTAAAAGGGAAAAAAGGAATTAACAATAGACATGAGTCATATTTATCACACCATCTGAAAGCAAGCAAAGTTTCAAGCAAGGGGGGGGCCCGGAAGACACAAAGACGCTAGCAGTGCCTGGCGCTTCCCCAGCCCTCATTCTCCTGTTCTCTATTTTCCAACTTGTGAAAAATATGCACACATTACGAATAAAGTGGGAAACATACCCCTTATTTTCCAAAAGAACATGGACAGAGCGGACAGCCCCCTCCCGCCTCACCCCATTGCCCTCGGGGCTGCGCCGGGTTAGACAGCGCCTGGGGACACGGTGACCCTGGCCTTCCCCACCTCAAACCACAGGGTGCTCAGCAAGGGAGTGGCAACCAAGCAGCTCGGCCTGTTCCAGACTGGAAAGGGCGCCTCGAGGAGGGAGGGCGCCGCCCCCGCAGGTGGACAGCGCCTCTCTCCAGAGGCGGGGCCTGCCCTGGGGCGCTCAGAGGGCTAATCCTGTAGCTCAGGAATTCCCAAAAAGGACTCGCTCTGGAATTTCCCAGCCGGGCAGACAGACAGACAGCCAGCCACCGCAGACAGCTCCCCCACTGAGCACAGATGTTCGCCTGGGGGTAGCGGCGCTGAGAGCCAACACAGACGCACCACTCAGCGGGGACAGGCCGTCCAAGGCGAGCGCCAGACAAGAGCCGCCCGGGCAGGCTGGGGCTGGGACGGGGAGGCCGGCGAGGGCTCCCCTGGATCGCGCGGTGCCTGCAGGCTTCCTCTTGGTCCAGCAGGCGTCGCCGCGGCTCTAGGGGCGGCGGGGCGAGCGAGGGCCGCGGTGGGACTGCCGCCGGGGCTACAGCCCCTATCGTTTGTTGTATCAATGGTGGCTTGTCTATCATGTCCCCTACTGGCCTGGGGGCTTCCCAAGGGCAGGAATTTTATCTTAGACTCACCCTAACCCCGGGTGCCCGTAACACCCGCACCTGAGGTGCCCCATCAAGTCTGACAAACGACCCCCGACGCACAAATACCGGATCGAAGAGTGACGGGACCAAAGCCTGAAGTGAGAATACTGGGGACAGCGCCAAGCCGGGGAAGGCCCCCCCACCTCTTCCCCACCCGGCTCGCCCCAGCGCGGCCCCAGCCCTAGACGCAGGCAGAGCGGGAACCGACGTGGCCCCGCCGGGCTGGGCTGAGCGCGCCCGGACCTGCCCGGCCGAGCGGAGCAGCCCAGGGACCCCACACGTTCCCGCCCCCAGCCCCCGCGGTCGAGAAACGCGGGATGTGCCCCAAGCCGTCTCCTGCTGCGGGTAACCCAGGGCCGCCCTCTCTGAACAGCTACCACCAGCCGTCCCCTCCATAACCCTCTCCCGGTTTCTTTTCTTTTCTTTTTTTTTTTAAGATTTTATTTATTTATTTATTTATTTGAGAGAGAGCACATGAGAGGGAGGAGGGTCAGAGGGAGAAGCAGACTCCCTGCCGAGCAGGGAGCCGGATGCGGGACTCGATCCCAGGACTCCAGGATCATGACCTGAGCCGAAGGCAGTCGCTTAACCGACTGAGCCACCCAGGCGGCCCCGGTTTCTTTTCAGAGCAGTCAGTCCCGCAGAAGCTCGGCCCCTTCACTCCACAGCGATTTCACTCCCTCCACGAACACGTACGGACCCCCTGCCACGTGCGCCAGGTGCCGGGCAGGCGCGGGCGATGCCGCCGCGGACTGACACCCTGCGCTCGGCGAGCTGCGATTCTCGGGACCCCCGAGCGGGGATCGGGCGATCTCGCCAGAGGCACGTAGGAGGCCCACACCCAGGTGTCCTCCCAGGTGAGCGAAGCGCGCGCGAGGCGCCGCCCTGGGGCTGGTGGGCGGCTGGACTTCGGACCCGCGGGAGCTGCGGGCCTCACGTCTGCAACCGCCGAGCTGGGCGCGGCCGGGGGGGGGGGGCGCCGGGGGAGGGGTGGGGGGGCCCGGGGCGTGCGCCGAGCCGGGCCGGACCCAGACACTCGGTTACGCTCCGGAGGTGTTTACAGTCCGCGGGGCGAGTCTCGCCTCCCGCCGCCTGCGGCCCTCGGAGGCCAGCGCTGGCCCTCCCCGCCCCAGGCTCCTCCCCCGAGGGACCTCTGCGCCCGGCTGGCAGTGGCGTCGCGGCCGCGTGTAATTACAGGCGCTGTCGCCAGGCCCGGCCGTAAAAGAGGAGGATGAAACGGCCTGGGCTGCAGCGAGCGGGGCCCGAGGCGGCCGGGAGCCCCGCGTCTGCGGCTTCCCGCGATGCGCGGCGCGGGGAAGGGCCGGCCCGGGAGGCGCACACGCCCGCAGCGCCAGCCGCGCGCAGACAGCCGCGCTGTGACACGCAGAATCCACGAAACGCACGCAGGCACACGGCCTCGGGCCTCCCGCTGCAGACGCGCACACGAGCCTCGGCAAACACCTGTGCCCGCTCGCGCCAACCCTGCTCCAGACGGCAGCAGATGCCGGCGGGGAGCAGGGCGGGGGCGCCACGTCCAGCGGTGCGAGCGCCTGGCGAGGGGGAGGGGCCCGCCGGCCCGGAGCCCCGGCGGCCGCGGGGCGAACCCCCGCCCCTCCCCACGGGCCCCGCTCGCAGCTGCACGTCTCCCCGTCTAGACACGCCGTTCGCAAACATTAGCACACGGACGCCAGAGCTGCACGCGCCTCCGCACACGCGGCTGTGAAGCTACACACACATGCCTTCGCACTCGCGCGCCACCACACGTATTTACCCATGTCCGATGCACATGTGGGGTCACAGTTTACCACCCTTGGTGAATGCCGATTCTCACAAGCCCCTTCGCATCGTACACACGTGCGTTCGCGCCCGCGCGCGCGCGCACACACAAACACGTCCTTAGCGCCCTTTGGCGCACGCGAAGCGAGCGAGAGAGAACGCCCTCGGACCAGGAGCCCGAGTGTCCCTCCCTCGCGCTGTTAACGACGGGCAGAGGCGCCCTTGGCCCCGGCCGCACACGTTACACACTTGGTCACAAGGGTCGCACTTTATTCCCGGCATCTAGGCGATGACACAATCTCCCGAACAAAGACAACATTGACAAACCCAACAAAAACAAACAGCCGCGTGTGTGGGGAGGGGCAGCCGAGCGGAGTCCGGGAAAGGCGGGTGGGAGGAGAGTGAGAACGCGGGCGCCCGAGCCTGGGTGCGCTAGGCTCGGGAAAGGTGCGGGCCCTGTCGACGACTTTGCACCCGCCAGACCCGCGCGCGGCGCCGCACAGCCGGGTCCCGCACCGCGCGTTCGCAGACCTGCACTTGCGGCTCGTTCCCTTCTCCCGCACGCCACTGAGCCGGGGGACACAGACCCAGCGCCCCGCACAGGCCCACGGGGCCGCATGCAGACCCACAAGCGAGCGAACTCGCGGCGCAGAGCACCTTCGTCCCGGCAGACGCTTAGATCCCGCTCCGCTCCCCTGCCCTCCCCTCCTCCACCTCCCAGCCCCCAAGCCCCGGGGCCGCCGCGCTCCGGGCGGGGCGGGCCGGGGCGGGGCCGGGGGCGGGGCGGGCGGTGGGCGGGGCTGGCCCAAAAGGCGGAGTCGCCCGGCGGAGGGGCCAGAGCTGTGCGCGGGGCCGAGTGCGCCGCTGAGACAGCCCGCGGGAACCCGGACCCCGAGGAGCCCCCCTCGTCCTCGCCCGGCCTGGCCAGGCCCTGCGCTATGGAGTTCCTCTGGGCCCCGCTCTTGGGTCTGTGCTGCAGTCTGGCCACTGCTGACCGCCACACCGTCTTCTGGAACAGTTCAAACCCCAAGTAAGCCCCGAGTCTCCGGCCGGCAGCCTGGGCGCCCGGTTGGCACTGCCCAGCCCCTAACCCCTCCTGCCCGGGTAACTGTGCCTGCCAGCCCCTGACCTGAGTCTTGGGGCGGTGACCAGAGGCGGGAGGGATTCCGTAGACATTTTCCCCCGCACTTCTCCCCCATAACTGGGAGTACCCCACCCCTGGGCAGGAACCTGTCCGTGACTGCTTGCACAGGGTTCTTTCTGCCCTTCCTTTCCGTCTCTCTGGTACCTCTGTTACTCTGAAGTGAGGGACCCTTGCTGAACAGTTCTGCCGGCCAGGGCTCTTGTTCTAGGCCCTTCCACCACAAAAGCTTCTGTGTGTCACTTGGACATGTGCCCACCCGGACAGGTACCTGATGTGACATCAGGCGTAAGCAGAATGCTCATTGTAATCCTGGGAGGACCCCTCAGGAGGGACCTGGCCTTCTGGCTTTAAGCGTCTGCATTCTGTGTTTGAGATGAGCCTGGAAAGCTTCCCTCCACACACAAGGGATCTTCCGAGGTGGCACGAGTGGGGCACATGCTGTGTGTAGATAGGCTGAGGGAGGCACCTGTTTAGGAGATTTGGGGGGGCGGGTAGGGAGGGCATGGGAAAGGTTCAGAAGGAGTGGAAAGGGTTAAAAGGGTGACAAAGGGCTCTGGGCAGGAAGGAGTTAATTTCTCCTGGGCAGGTTTAGGGCTGGGAGGCAAATGGTACTGGGAGGAAGAAGCCCCGTTGGACCCTTTGTTCTTGCCCTTGAGTTTTTGAAGTTATGGGAACAATATTTGTGGGAAAATGGGGGAGGGGGGTAGGGTGGAGCAGGGAGAGGAGGTCTGGGCAGCTTGGGGTCAGGAAAAACACTTCACTCAGCTTGGCCACCCGCAGCCCTAGCACGCCAGCCCCCCACGCCCCTTGAGAAATGTGTTGTGCCAGCTTCCTTGGACCCTGTGGCAACATTGCCTGGTGGGGGGTCTGTGGGCTGGGGCTTGTGGGCCGGGGAGGGAACAGCCAGCTGCCAACGCAGGAGGCCAGTGCCCTTTTGCCCATTGGCCACAGGGGCAGCCCGGTCAGCCCCCTCCACCTCACTGCTTGCTTCCTGTTCTTTACCTCCTTGATCCAATCTTGTCCTAGTGGGAGAGAGCGAAGTCCCTGTTTATGCCCATGCCAGGTGTTGGCTGGAGGAGGAGGAGGGGCAGGAAGCCATGAGTAGGGAGGGGGGAACCTGGCCTTTTCCGTTCCCAAGCTCCCAGATTTCCTCTCTTTCAGGAAGGAGCCTCTTCCTTGCCCCCCCCCTCCGCCTTCCCTGACGCCGCTGCTGCCCCCCTTTCCCAGACGGGGAGCCAGGGTCAGAGGAGCCTAAGTGGAACAGATTGTACTGGGGGGGAGTAATGGGTGCCCCCACCAAGCACAGCTTCTGCCCTGTCCATCTGGCCACACGTGCGCGCGCGCACACACACACACTCCACCATCCCAGGATTGAAGAGAAGCCAGCCAGAGTGCAATGCACAGGCAGCCGAGCTGGCCCGCTTGCAAGCACAGATGAGGTGGCGATGAGCTGGGCGGGGGTGAGGCTGGCCTGGGTGACTCAGGGTAGTGGGCATCGGCGGGATCTCCAGGTCCCAGGCGGGGGGGGGGGGCGGCTTGGGGAGAAGGGCGGGGCTGCCGTGAGCTGGGCGCTGGCCTCGCGGGTGCTGGAGGGGCACGTAGCCCACCCACTCAGACCTGCCAGCTCCTTAGGCCTGGGGGACCGAGCCCGGGGCAAGTCCTGGCATTGGGGTCTGGGGGGCCACGCACATTGGACAAGGTAAACGTTCACAGGTTCTCATGAATGCTGGGGCGGGTGGCAGAGGTGGATGAGGAATGAGTCAGTGCCCGTCACGGGAATGGGGGAAAGACGCCAGGCCGAGAGCTGAAATACCTGTTTGAAATGGCTTCTATGTTTATCTCTCCAGAGAGGAATTTTAAAAGCCTCTCCCTCGCTCGCGCGCTCCTCCTCCCCTCCCCCTCCTCCGCCCCAACTCCCTCCTCCACCCCCACCCCCCCGGGGGAGGAGCCCGGGGTAGCCAGGGCCGAGAGCTGGCAGGCTGCCCTCAGGCCGGGCCGCGGTGGGGGGGGGGGGGGGATTGTCCCGCGGACGGGGCAGGGGGTGCCCACCCCAGGGGCCTCGCGTCCGAACTCCTGCCCTCCCCCCACCTGTGCCGGAGCTTCGGTTGGCAGCCAGCACTGCTGAGTCTGGCTGGCAGCGCCGGGGAATTTAGAGTCGCTGACCAGCTCGGAGGGGGCGGGAGTGGGGGTGGGGGGGAGGCAGCTCCCCCGCCAGGACCCCACCCCGCCCCCCGCTGGAGCCAGGTGTCTGGGGCCGCCGGGCTGGAGCCCGAGGGGCCTGCGGGAGGGAGCTGGCTGCCCCTGGGATCGCGGGTGGGAGAGGAGGCCTCCCACCGATAACTCCAGCAGCTCTGGAGCTCCTTCCTCGGAGGTGAAGTGTGGCTTTGGAGGTAAACGGACTGGGAGGTTTGGGGTGCTTTGGGAGAAGGGGACAAGGAGGCCTGAGCCTAAACTGGAGGAGCTAGAAGGGGGATTTACTGTGGGCCTGGTGTGCTGGGGGCGGGAGTGAATGCACTCAGGGGCTCAGGGGAAAGGCCAGGAGTGAGGGACCCCAAGCTGTAGATGTGCTGGGGGCTAAGAGCAGGTAAGCGCAGCTAGGAGAGCAGGGGTTCCTAGACCCCCATTGCAGTATGCCCGCAGGCTGGGAGGGTCTCAGATTGAGGGCTAACAACATTTAAAGGAGTAACTGGGAGAACAGATTTGGGGAAATGCTCCCGGGAGAAGAGCAGGATGAGTGACCTAAGGACACAGTCAGTAGCCCTTCCATGGGTAAATGTCTGGGGCTTATGCAAAGTGCTTTGGTACCTGAAGGATACTAAAGTGGGCACTGTTCAGAGGATGAACTAGAGGTAGTGATGGGAGCAGACGTGTGTGAAGATGGTGTAAAGATACTGAAGAGGTCAAGATCAGTAAATATTGGGAGTTGAGATTCTTGAAGAATCTTTGTGGGGGGCCAGTGTGAAATGTGGGGGGCCAGGAAACATTTGGAAGCTCGCAGCCCTAGCCGGGCTTCCCGGTGATGGCCTGCTTCCTCCCGCCCTGCACACGCAGGTTCCGGAACGAGGACTACACGGTGCACGTGCAGCTGAACGACTACCTGGACATCCTGTGTCCGCATTACGAGGATGACACCGTGGCTGACGCCGCCAGGGAGCGGTACACCCTGTACCTGGTGGAGCGCGAGGAGTACCAGCGGTGCCAGCCCCAGTCCGAGGACCAGGCTCGCTGGCGGTGCACCCAGCCCAGCGCCAGGCACGGCCCCGAGAAGCTGTCGGAGAAATTCCAGCGCTTCACGCCCTTCACCCTGGGCAAGGAGTTCAGGGAGGGGCACAGCTACTACTATATCTGTGAGTCCTCAGGGCTCGCACACGGGCCGCGGGGACCGGCCCAGAGCCGCACACAGCCCCTCCCATCCTGAATTGTTTTCACGCGTTCACATGACAAGCGTGGAGTGAGCTTCTGCTGTGCACGGGGCACTCTGCTTGGCACGACAGGCACAGAGATAAATAAAACTCCGTAGGGCCCCTATCCTCCAGGAAATTGGAAAGCGACGCACACGGGGGACTCACCTTAGCACAGCACGATATGAAGACACGGACACAGGGGCCTTGGGAGAATGACGTGGGTAACGGCCAGGCTCCGGAGGCTCAGAGACGGGCTCCTGGGGAAGATGACCCAAGAGCTTAGGACAGGCAGAGACGCTGGCCAGGCACGAGGGGACATGTGCAAAGGGAGCATGACATCTTCAGGGAACTCTATATGGTTCAGTCTGGCTGCAGTAGGAGGGACCCTGGAAGTGGGCAGAGGTGGACAGGGCACATCATGGGGGCCTCGGAAGTGCTAAGGAGTTTGGATTTTGTCCTAAGGGTAGTAGAGAAGCACTCGTGGCTACAAGAGTTAGAAAATCTGCTGGTCAGTGGGGCCTAGGTAGGGGGAACGTAGTGTGAAGGCCTCAGCCAACTTCGGGCTGGGAAGAGTGAAGGATGGACTGTGGCAAGAGGACAGGGTCTGTGTGCTTTTACCGCCACCTCCAAAGCCAAGGGTCATTGCAAAGAATGGGAGGTTGAGCGTGAGGCAGAAAGCGGGCAAACGACAAGGAAGGTGAGAATCACAGATGAGCAGGAAGAGAGGGGCTCAAGTGAGCAGGGCCTGAGAGAGGAGAGCCAGAGGGTTTGCACTTGTATTTTCTCCCAACAAAGGATCCTCCCTTAACGCTCTGCGCGGGTTTGTCTTGCAGCCAAACCCATCCACCATCAGGAAGACCAGTGCTTGAGGTTGAAGGTGACTGTCAATGGCAAAATCAGTGAGTGTCAGAGCCCTGTGAGCCTCCTTCCTCCATCTGTTTGCGGGGCCTGGGCTAGTGACCTGGGATGGCAGGGAAGTTCCACCTGCCTGCCTCCCCAGGACAGTCCCTGATCGGCCACCGCCCTTGCCTTTCAGCTCACAGTCCTCAGGCCCATGCCAACCCACAGGAGAAGAGACTTCCGGCAGGTAGGTAGCCAGAGCAAGTTGGGCCTGGGGTCTGCTTACAGAGGTTGGGTACAGAAGGTGGCTTCTTTGCCAGGTGGGGGCTGGGGAAACCTCATGGAGCTGACGGCCAATGCCAGCAATAGGGCTGCTCACCTTGGGGGCGCTGGCCCTCTCATCTTGCAGATGACCCAGAGGTACAAGTTCTCCATAGCATCGGTCACAGTGCTGCCCCCCGCCTCTTCCCACTTGCCTGGGCTGTGCTGCTCCTGCCATTCCTGCTGCTGCAGACCCCATGAAGGGCTGTGTGCCACATCCAGCCTAAGGACCGGACCGGGGCTGAGGAGGCGGGGCGGGGCATCCCTCACCTGTCCTGGGAACCATTCCCACCACATGCACAAGCTGCCATTCAGCAGCCTCAAAACGGGTCAGGATTAAGGGTTTCAACCCAAAGGAGGTCAGCAAGCCTGGCAGTGCCATCCCTTCCTCCACCCTGAGGGACAAAGAAGTGGGGACAGTCCTTTCCCCGCCATTCCTGCCCTTAAGCCAAAGAAACAAGCTGTGCAGACGTGGCTTCTTAAGGAGGGCACCGTGGGAGCCAAACTGGCAGGGGCCTGGGGTCATGCAGATGGACACTGAGCTTGGCAGAGATGCCCCTCCCGAGAGAGCCAGGATGCCTGGATGAACTGACTGACTGAAAAGCAGGAGACAGTTCCATGCTTGGGAGCCAGAGACCGGGAGAGGCGGCATGCTTGGGCTGACCCAGCATCTCTCCCGAGGCTTCCGGAAGACTTTGAAGCTGCCGTGGAGAGTTTGTAGCCATGCACCACGTCCTGTCCCATCTGGGGCAGCACTGCCCAGAGCGGTGCCCGCAGGGGGCTGTGCCACCCTGTGCCTGGAGTGTAGCTGCAAGGGCAGGACCCACGCATACAGGATCTGTATATAAACTTGATGTGTGTCTGCTGATTTCTACAACTGGAGTTTTTTTATACAAAAAAATAAAGCGATGTGTTTATTTGGACATGCTTGTCTGCCCCCCCCATCCCCCATCCTAATTTAGGACCACTGGGTCCCTGCCACGTGCTAGGCTCTGTGGGACACCAGGCAGCACCTGGGTTTAAATTTTCTTCCTTCCATCTGGAAAGAATACACGCCCCTCACTAGCACCAAAGGGTGGGGTGCTTCCTCCTCTGAGCGCCGCACTGCGGTCTCGGGGGCTCCAGGCTGCACTCCACTCCCGCATCGCGGGGCTTTGGCAAACCGTCCGGTTGCTCCTGCTGTTGGGTGCATCGGGGAATACCAGCCGAGGCACGGCAGGCCGCCTGGTCCCACAGACCCGGCAGCCGGGGCAGCCGGGGCAGCCGGGGCAGCCGGGGCGTGCGGGCTGTGGGCTGTGCGAGGCCGCAGGGAGAGTCCCCAGCAGCAGGTCCTGTCGGTTGGACTAGGGCGTCAGTGACAGGTGCTCCAGCCGATTGGCCCAGTCGCCCAAAGTTGGCAGTGTGGCTGAAGGCGGAGGGCGCCTGACAGACTGGTGATTCCCGGCCAGCCCACTTATTTAGGGGAGACACTGGGAAGAGGCTTCAACAAACCGGGGAAAAGCCTGGGCAGGTGAGGTTGCGGTCGGGGCCTCCGGGGCGGGAAATGTCCAGCAATTAAGGCCGGCCACGACGGCTCAGGGCAAGAGACTTGAGGCTGGGGTCCGGGTGAGCCAAGGGGTAAGCAGAAAGGGAGGAGCGGCAGGTGCCCGCGGCCGGTCCGCGGAGCCCGGGCTGGGTACCCGCCAGGACCTGGAGAGGCCACATCGTACCAGGCCTCCGGCGCGCCCGGACCGGCAAGGGTGGGGCCTGGTGATCGGGGGCGGGACCTGGTTCCGGCAGGACGCCCGCGGGGGCGGGGCTGCGGGTCCATTTCCGGCGGACGGCGGCGCGCGGAGGGGGCGGGGCTCCGGCGCGGGGGCGGGGCTGCGGCGGCGCGGGCTCTGGCCCAGCAAGTGGACAACGGCGCTGCGCCGCGGATCCGTCGCAGGGGGAGATGGAGGCTGGTGGCGTGGCCGACTCGCTCCTCTCTGGAGCTTGCGTGCTCTTCACCCTCGCCATGTACTCCACCGGCCTGTGAGAGCGCGGCCGGGCTAGGCTGGGGCAGGACCTGGAAGTCAGGAAGGGAGAGAGAGGGAACAGAGACGTGGCCGCAGCTCCAGGCTGCTCCCGGAACCTGGGTCAAAGTGGATTCGGGTCGAGGGATCCGGGGCACAAGGGCGAGGCTGGGCACTTGAGGGACAGGCCAGAGAGCTGAGGGCGGGGCCGGGACCTGCAGTTGTCCGGGGACGACCACAGGCATCAAGGATCTCGACTCCCCAGCAGCCCGGTTCTCCCTTCCCATCTCTCACCTCTGCTTTCGGGACCCGTTACAGCTCGGACCTCAGGCAAATGCGGATGACCCGGAGCGTGGACAGTGTCCAGTTCCTGCCCTTTCTTACCACGGACATCAAGTGAGAGGGGCGACGTTTGCGGCGGGAAAGGTTGAGGGAGGTGGGGAGGTGGGAGGAGGAACGCTGAAGAGGCCCCTTGGGTCCCCTTCCCATCCTCATCCCCGTGGTGAACGACCCTCCTGTCCACCCTGCAGCAACCTGAGCTGGATGAGTTACGGGGCCTTGAAGGGTGACGGGACCCTAATCTTTGTCAACGCCACGGGTGCTGTGCTTCAGACCCTGTATATCTTGGTGTATCTACACTACTGCCCTCGGAAGGTAGAGACCCTCCCTTGGACCCACATCTGCTGCTCACCTGCCATGCTGGCAGAGTCAACACTGCTTCCTAGAAGATTATGATAGGCTGGCCATTGCCACTTTTTCCTGGAAGGCCCCTCCAGCCTTGCAGTCCTCCTTCCTCCGTGAAGCCAGCCTCTGACACCCACACATTGGGCACCCCCCCCCATTTCTGGCAAGCTGGTAGTTCTGCCTAGCCTGATGGTGCCTTGCTGCTCAACAAGCTGAGAGGAATGGGCTTTTGTCTCTGATAGTTCCTTCAGAGTCAGCGCCAGTGCCTGAGAAATGAGTTGATTAGCTGTGCTTCCCCAATCCTACCAGCATTTAAGTTCCTACTGTGTGTACCAAGTTCACACCAAAAACAAAAGCAAAACGCTTCTCTCCTAGAAACCTCTAGTGTTGTGGGTGGATGGGACATGTGTTTGTCACTGGTGGGAAAGAGGCTGCAGCAACTGCTATACTGAGGCTTAGCCCAAGGTCAGCTCCCCCACTGGAGCAGGAGAGTCCGAGAGGGCTCCTGAAACATCTAGCAGTACGGCTGCTCTCTCCCCTGCAGCGTCCGGTGCTCCTTCAGACTGCAACCCTGCTGGGGGTCTTTCTCCTGGGTTTTGGCTACTTTTGGCTCCTGGTGCCCAACCTTGAGGCCCGGCTTCAGCAGCTGGGCCTCTTCTGCAGTGTCTTCACCATCAGCATGTACCTCTCACCACTGGCTGACTTGGTGAGTCGGGGGCTGTCCAGGGAAGTGGGGGAGATAAGACGGGTCAGGGTCCCATAGCCAGAGACTGTATGTAGCTTACACTCCAAAGGAAGATCCTGGAAGACAGGGCAGTAGAGGTAGGTGAGTGGGAGGCAAGAGGACAAGGCTGGGTAACAGAAGATCAGAGAGGATGTTTGACCTTTTTTCTGAGGACATTCTTAGACAAGCGGGAGCTCTGGGATGTGTCTGGGATAGGGGTCTTTCATCCTTTTTCTGTAGGCCAAGATCATTCAGACGAGATCAACCCAGCGTCTCTCCTTCCCACTCACCATTGCCACCCTCCTCACCTCTGCCTCCTGGACCCTGTATGGGTTTCGGCTAGGCGATCCCTACATCATGGTAAGCCCAAGAGAAGGATGGCTGACAGGTGTGTAAGGTGGAAAATGAGCTCCTCTCCTCATAGCAGCCCTTGTGATTTCAGGTGCCCAACCTACCAGGGATCCTCACCAGCTTCATTCGCCTCTGGCTTTTCTGGAAGTACTCCCAGGAGCAAGACAGGAACTATCCACTCTTGCAAACCTGAGGCAGTTCACCTGACCACTGGGCACCTAATGCCAACCTGCTACCAAAGAGAGCTCCTTGCAGCTGTTCCTGCTGACCAGCTCCATGAGCACAGTGGGTTGTCGAAAAGAAAAAGATAACTCTGAGACTCGAGGGACCAAAGAAAGCGTTTTGCTTGGAAGATTGACCGGGACTTGGGAGATGAATCACTTATTTTTTATAGATTATATTTTTTAATTGTGGAGGTTGTGGTGAAATCCTTAGAATGTGCCTTAAAATAAATTGTTCCTTACCCCTGCCCATAAAAGCTTAGTCTCTATCTGGTGATTCTCAACCTGCCTGCTTGGTGAAGGGCAGAAGTGCACTGCCTGATCCACAGTTGCTCACGGGCTGGGGTTGGCTCAGAGGAGGTATTTGAAGGAACCACGAAGTCGGAAAGACCTAGGAAGGCCTTCAAAGAACAGAGCCTGGGTGTTACGAAGAACAGAAGTTAAGACTTCAAGAAGTCCTTCCTGAGAGGGTTAAAAGGACCAAGAAAGTGAAATGACATTCCATCTCGAGAGACCTTGAGAAGGGGTCTTTGCCTCCTTCGGAGCAGAAAGGAGGAGGGACACAAGCAAGGATGCAAAGATAAAAGCGGAGATGACCTCAGGGAGGTGGCTCGTCCCCGCCCCCACCCCCCGCTTCCCCACAGCCGGGACACAGAATCCCCAGTTCCCGCCCTCCATAAACAAAACAAAGTTAGAAAATAAGCTGCTCTTTAATGGGCGGCGGGAGGAAAGGCTGTCCGGTGGGAATGGGGTTGGGGTGTCAGAAGCGCATCCCCCTGCGGGCTAAGTCGGCTCGGGCCTCCTGGATCTGGCTCTGCAGCTCGCGCGCGGCGTCCTCACAGTCGTGGAAAGTGGCCACGCGGTAGCCCACGGTGCCCAGGGCATAGCAGCCGGCGGACACCAGCAAGTAGGCCGGCAGTGGCCACAGCACCTCCCGGCATGACGAGGGCAGCTCCAGGCCCAGGGCTCCCGTGGTCAGGGCCGCCCAGGTGGAGCCCAGGAGCGCCAGTCCCCAAAGCCACTGCGCTAACTTCGTCATGGGCACTGCGGGGAGAGAAGGCAGAGCTCGCGGCCCCTTCCGCCCCGCTACCCCCCTCCATCGGAGACCAGTTCTCTGTCCCCCTCACCCGCCCTCCGTATCACCTACCCTCGGGGCCGCTCCGCCGCCGCTGTCGCCCGGCTCGCCCCCCGCTTTCGGCCCTCAGCCCGCACTCACCCGCGCCGCCGTCTCCCCTGCCCGGCGCAGCTCCGACGTCAGCGTCCCGAAGGCCTCTCGGCTCGCGCGGCTTTCTGGGAGTTGTAGTCCTCGCGGCGGCGCGCTCTGCCTCGCGCGGCCTTCTGGGAGTTGTAGTCCCCGCGGTGGCTCCCGGGGGAGTCGCAGCCGCCGCCCGCGTCTACACTGCGTTCGCAGAGCCTCCGACGGCGGCCCGAGTGCCCGGGGCTCCCGTGCAGCGCTGTCCGTGAGGACCCCGCTCCACGCTGGCTGGCGTCCTGCTGAGGACGCCCTCAAACTTTGCGAGAACATGGGAATGTAATCTGGGTCCCCCAGACTTTATTCACGTATTCTTTCCTTCACTGCAACGTTGCCTGGTCACCGTCATAGCCTTCGGAGAAATGCAGCGGTGCAGACCTCGGCCCCAAAGCGGACGCCGTGACCGCTGACCGTGACGCCTCGAGATAGCTGTTAGAACAGAGGATGTCCCCCTTTAACAAAGACCCGCAGCGGAGCAACAGTGCAGCTTGGAGCCCGAGGAAGAGGGGCTCTGGGAGGGGTCTTGAAGGAAAGAAAAGTGAGTTTAAGGTATTGAGAGAGGAGTTTTAGGCATGAATTCATGGTAGGTACGTGGAAAACCAAGTAAGGGAAAAGTCGGGCAATTACCAACATCGGGGAAAAGACTCACAAAGAAAGGGCGCGGACAAGAGCCTGCCTGGCAAGGGTCTCCCTGGACATCACTGCCGCCGATCAGCACGCAGCTGCGAGAGAGCAGCCCCCGGGGGAACCGCGGGCCACTCCCCGTACAGGGGAAACAGGGCCCTTACAGGAGGTGGGGAAGGATGTGTTTGACAGGTTCGAGCTCAGCGGGAGTGTAAGAAGGCATCAGCAAGCCTGGGCTGAGAAGTGGACTAGGGTCCACTTGGTAACTACAAAATTAAGATAATTAATTTTAGAGAATTATGCAATAGATAACTGCTTAATTAAGATAAACATAGAGTGCTGTGTCCAGACGCCTCCACGTGAAGCTTTGCAGGAGGTTGGAAATGGAGACTGCTTCTCTGTGTCAAAGTAACCTGCCTGGCTCAGACCTCCAGGCCAGAGTGGGATGTTCAGTTCTCCCTGATTGATTTCAAATCGCAAAGTGAGTGCCTGCATGATTTTAGAGAAGGAAGTTTCTCAGTCTCATGTCTTTGATGTTAATTAACAAAAGCGGTTTTTACAGATTCACATAGTCTTAGTAAGGACATTACATAACTCAGCTGTGAAGACTATTTTCACAGCCCGAATAATGTAAGCACTGATACTGAGTTAAGTAAACATTGGGATGTATTTGAATTGAGTGGGTGGGGGAGGGGAGGCTATGAGGAGCCTCATGGATAAAGAGAACCATAGCCTCATCTTCCATGGCAGGTGGTCAATTATATCTAAAATGGAAGAAATGAGGGGCGCCTGGGTGGCTCAGTCATTAAGTGTCTGCCTTCAGCTCAGGTCATGATCCCAGAGTCCTGGGATTGAGCCCCGCATCGGGATCCCTGCTCCACGGGGAGCCTGCTTCTCCCTCTCCTACTCCCCCTGCTTGTGTTCCCTCTCTCGCGCACTCTCTCTCTCTCTGTCAAATAAATAAATACAATCTTAAATTTAAAAAAATAATAAAATGGAAGAAATGAAATAATAATATGAGCACACTACTAAGAAATATGAGGTGTACCAAGGAAGCAGCCAAGAATCCCAGGAGGGGCTTACAGAGCAGCACGTGTGGAGTTCGGAGAACTGGAACAGGGGACTGGTATTTTTCATTAAGTGCCTTTGTAAAACTAGTTGGCTTTTTAAACTATGTAAATTCCTTTGTTAAAGTAAAAAGACAAAATAAAAACATTTTTAAAAATTTGCTATATGAGGGGCGCCTGGGTGGCTCACTTGGTTGAGCGTCCAACTCTTGATCCCAGCTCAGGTCTTGATCTCAGGGTCATAAGTTCAAGCCCCCCATGTGGAGCCCACTTAAAAAAAATTGGGGAGGCGCCTGGGTGGCTCAGTCAGTTAAGCATCTGCCTTCAGTTCAGGTCATGATCCCAGGGTCCTGAGATCTGGCTCCCTGCTCAGCAGGGAGCCTGCTTCTTCTTCTCCCTCTGTCTGCAGCCCCCCTTACTTGTGCTCTCTGTCAAATAAATAAGTAAAATCTTAAAAAAAAAATTTTTTTTTTGCTATATGAACTTCGAAGCCCCACTCTACTCGCTTCCCCATTCCATCTAAAACCCTACTGGTTGCTCACCTGACTTCCAGACTTCTAGCACAGTTCAGTGGATGGATGTCAGCTTTGTAGATCCAGAAATTCTATTTGGTCATCCACAGTAGACCTGGCCCTGAGAGATTACCACTCCCCAGAACAGTTTTTGGGGAAAGATAATGAGAAGGGGCTTGCCCTACAACACATAAAGATAGATAATAAATTATAGCATTATAATAATAATCAGCAGCCAAAGAATAAACATTCATTGAAGGGCTATGATGTGTCGTGCCCTATGGCACACTGTCGTGTTTAATTTTCACAGAATGCAGCAGTAGGTACTTTTCTATCGCCGTATATTAATGAGGCAGCTAGAACAGACAGATGGTGACTGGTAAGTAACTTGCCCAAGATCCTGCAGATAGTGAGTAGCAGAGCTATGCCATCCTTCTCGAGGCTTGGTGCTCAGTGCCTGGTCCAGGAAGGGGCAGAGAGGGATCATCATGGCAACTGACATGCACTGATTGACTGACTGCCTTGCGCCAGGCACTTTGCTGAGCACTTTATGTGCCTGATCTCATTCAGTCTTCACAGCCACCATTTGAAGTGGATACTATTATCTTCACTTGACAAATGAGAACACTGAGGCAAACCCCACATAATGTGACTTCTGAGCTTGCCAACTCTGCCATCCAGTATAGCACTTCTCTCCCTAGGTCAGTGGAACAGAATAAAAAGTGAAGAAATAGATTTTTAAAATATACCAATTTAGCATATAATAGAGATGGCAACTCAAGCAAGTAAGGGAAGATGGATGATTTAAAAACCATTTGCAACTAGCTTACCATTTGCAAAAGTAAATTGTTATTACACCTTATTCCAAAATGAATTCCCAGTGCATTAAAAAAAAAGCAAACAAACCATAATGTGAAAAGTGAGACCTTAAATATGCCATAAGAAAATGTGGGTTCATATTTCTCTGTGTTCCACTCAGGCTTCGTGTCCTCCAAGGTTGCAGGGTTGGCCACCATCCTCCTCCTCTGAGCGCCCAGATGGTCTTGATAGACAGCACTAAGCATGATGATCTGCAGCGTTTTTCTTTTTCTTTTTTTTTTTAAAGAAAGGTTTTTTAAATTTTTTTTATTTTAAAGATTTTTATTTATTTATTTGACAGAGAGAGACACAGCGAAAGAGGGAACACAAGCAGAGGGAGTGGGAGAGGGAGAGGCAGGCTTCCCGCGGAGCAGGGAGTCCGATGTGGGGCTCCATCCCAGGACCCTGAGATCATGACCTGAGCCGAAGGCAGACGCTTAACGACTGAGCCACCCAGGTGCCCCTCTGCAGCGTTTTTCTTTCCCTGCATGCCCTGTCCAGGGACATTGTGGCTCCAGGACCAAGCACAGTGAGAGAAATCCAGCAGGGCTTCTCTAAATGTAAAAACGAGGGACAGAGGGAAGGACAGGTTCATGTCTGATGGTCTCTAGCGAGACGGACCCAGCTCTCCTGGTTCCATGAACTAGAACTACTCCAGAGACTCCCACCGGCTGGACACAACGTCCTTGGCCTTGGATAGTGCTCAGCAAAGCCAGCAGATTCTTACAGTCCAGCTCCTTTCTCTTCAGTCTTTTTGCAGACCATCCCTCTTTTGCTGCCACAGGACACACTACATGTGATTATAGCAGGGTATGAGAGGCAGTATGGCTCAGGAGATAAACGTTCGGGGGCTTAGGGGCGCCTGGGTGGCTAAGTTGGTTAAGCGCCCGACGCGTGATCTCAGCTAAGGTCCTGATCTCAGGGTCATGAGTTCAAGCCCCAAG